TATATATATATATATATATATATATATATATATATATATATATATGCGTCTGCTTCAGCTGTCACAATCAAGGTCGATGTAGAGTTCAAGGCTGTGATATTATTGAGAAATCCTGCCTTCCTGAATACTCCTTTCCAGCGATACTAAAGTCAGTTACTATGACTCGTATGTTTTTCCAGTTTGTTTAATACACTGTATGTCATTATTATTTCAATATGTATCGCTTGAAAATGATGTACTTCGTGAAACCACTGAAGATATCTCCGATATTCTGAACAGAAAGGGTATTTGAAATTTCAGATTGTTCCGTATGTGCTTGTTTAATGTACAGAATGTGCCCATCAAAACACTGGTGGCGCTGTTCTTCCATCAGCGGAAATTAAACTATTTGACATCTTCAGGAAGCACGTACAACTATTGAGGAAATATAATCCGTTAGTGACATTTGCTGCGCGTTCTATATGTATTGTTTCAGCGGATAATTTCATCGCTCACACAGACATTAAATACATTGAATGAAGTGTCTCTGGAATTTAGTGATATTTAATTTATTCCAAAACACGTTTATTTGAAGGATACCCGTCACATGTGAAAATAGCCCATATCCCCACGCTGACAAATTTGTGATTTATCCCGCAAAAGTAGCCATTTCATTTCCAAGGTAATAATTCCGATTGTATTTCCATATGATGGTTAGTACCATCCTAAAAAACAATAAAATTTGTGAGCTACGGACAGATCGATGAGAACTGGCACACCTGCCTCCTATCGCCGACCTCTGCTAAGTTCGCTGAAGGAACAACAAGAATACACTAATATAAAAATGTATAGATTTTAGCAAAGGAACGGGTAGGTTTATGTATTTAAACGTGTGGGATTTGCGTTGCTATGCAACGAATAATTTAGTGCATGGACTGAGTTTAAGCTGGTCCCCTGCGTCAAATGGTTGAGTCTGATTGAAAAGAAACTTCAATACGCCGTTCACCAAACACATTGCACTAACTGCGTGAGATGCGAAGAGTTACTACTTTTACCACCGCCTGACGTGTAGTACCTTCCATATGTGTAGTTCGTCGGTCACAACACATGGGATTTGCGTTCAATGTTCTATCCACTGCGAGTAAATTTGGGATTATTCCGCCGTGACGCCTGTGTCTTACATATCAACACCACAGGATATACCGAGTCAGCTGTGTGCATTGTCTGATTTCTGCTGTACCGCGTAAATCACCACTTCGCGATATTGGCGCCCGACATCACATATCGAGGTAATACAGCAAGACGGACAAGTTGATGAAGCGGGGATTATTGTCGGGGAGAAATTGTTTTTCTCGGTTCTGAGCGTTAATTTTGATAACTACTCTATCAATTCGTTAGAGTACGATGTTCTCGCATGGGCGTACTTCGTAATATGAAACACAAATAACATACACTGTTATATGCTGTATACACAATTCATCCTAAAACGCTAAAGTGGTTATTCAGTCATCTACATTATTTTCAGCATTACGCGTTGAAAACAATGCAGGGTTGATGGGTTACGAAAATGAAAACATGAAACAATGTTGTTCCCTCATTGTGAACTGATGAATTGTCAACTGCCAATTGAAATACTATATTCAGAGTCTACTAACGTACGTTTGATAATTATTAAGAAAATCGGATGCTAAATTTATTTGAAAGAAATATTCGTGAAGGATGCAATGGTAGAGCCTACTACCGAACCTATTTAATATACACCGGCAACAATTTTAGCGGATGGCGATTTCGGACAGGTCTTCACTAACATAGTGTGTACTACGTCACAGAGCTTCGTCATTATAATTGGCTCTTCATGAACTGCTGTACATTAGCTTTGAGTTTGTACCCTGTACGTGACAGCTTGTATTCTAGCCTTGATAGATATCAGTATGCACATATAAGGGTGAGTATTACTCATGCTAACATTAGCAATGTTTACACACAGTAGTATTATATTGTTGTTTTTTCTTCTTACCTTTATGAGAAAGATGACAGAAGCAGTCAAGAAATTGTAAAATCCAATGCTTTAATTGGTTGATACTGAAGATTTTAGAGTTTGACTTCAGATAATAATAGCAGTTAGAATCATTTATGACCAGTTGCCATTGACAAAATCTTATCTACCACGTTGCACCTACAATTAAAGCCGCGGTTTTACGTGTTACCATGGTTACACAAATATGTACATTGTGTCATATTTACCGTGTATCTTTTATTTACAGGGCGATGATAACTTAATTTGTAAATCCATTGCAAAACACTGTTGGGTATTTTGCACACAACCAGCTGTCTCACGGATTTTAACCGCCAGGGATATAATACTCGACTATTAAGCATTCTAATACGCGTGTATATTGATCTGATTCACAATGGACAAATACAGGGTGTGGAATCACAGTCAGGCTGGGGGATTCTTAGATGACGACTTGTCGGGATCTGGATTCATTCCCGAAGATGAAAAAGACAATATAGTGTCGACAGAGACGACTACCATGGTTACCGATTGGCTTGTGTCTACTACAGCTGAATCGATTACTCATCGTGTCGTTATTAAACTACCGTCGTACGAAATCCCCGATATTGTAAATCATATAAACACAACTCTAAATATTTCCATATGGCTTAGTGATAATTTGACGTACACAAATAAATCCATTTTTGAAGATCGCGATCTGATCGGGTCATTTTCCATTCAACAACCACTGCTTGCCATCGTACTTACCTTGTTCGCTATTGTGATAGTATTTGGGAACTCGCTGGTCATACTTGCCGTCTATAGGGAGCGTTATCTGCGGACAACTACAAACTGTTTCATCGTCTCGTTAGCTTTTTCTGATTTATTAATTGGGCTTGTTGTCGTGCCGTTCGCCATGATAAATGACACTAGTGGTGGTTATTGGGTGTTTGGTACTCTGTGGTGCGATCTATGGCACGCTATAGACGTGTTGGCCAGCACGGCTTCAATAATGAATTTATGTGTGATTTCACTTGATCGATATTGGGCCGTCACTTACCCCATGAGCTACCCAACGGCCATGACAAAACGAGTCGCGTCAATTCTAATTTCATTGGTCTGGCTGGTGTCATCCTCAATCTCGTTTCCGTGCATTTTATGGTGGAAAGCTGTTGACCCCCCTGCCCCGCCCAATACATGCCTCTTCACGGAGGACGTTAAGTATTTAATAATATCGTCGTGCGTTTCATTCTATATTCCCACCGTAATCATGATATTTACGTATTACAAGATATACCGGGCTGCCACCACGCAGCTACGACACATACGTCACGGAACAAAGCGAGTGAACGCATCGCCGGGTGCTAGAAAAGTCAACGGCGAAGTGGAGTTGCGCATCCATCGTGGCGGTGCAGCTCACGCAGCTTACGGCAAGAAAAAAGGAGGGCGTGGTTTACGGAGAGACGGAAAGGGATTCGTGGCGCTAACTGGGCGGAGAATGTTATCGAGGATAAGCAAAGAACATAAAGCCGCTAAGATGCTGGGAATCGTCATGGGAGTTTTTGAACTGTGCTGGCTTCCTTTTTTTATTACCAACAATATTCTGTGGGCTGTATGCAAGACGGATTGCGTGCAGTACCCGCATATAGTAATCCCCATCACGGCGTGGCTAGGCTACATTAACAGTGCATTTAATCCTATGATATATGCGCGAAGTAGCCGCGGCTTTAAGCGAGCGTTCAAACGGATTCTTTGCAAGTGTGTGCCCAAACTAAAATACCGCCGAAAGGATGCAGTCAGCAACACATTGGATTTGTACAGTGTTGATTCATACGTGCCTGAGACTTCGTGCATGGCAGCTATCATAGATGACGATAACCTCACCACTACTGGGATGTGTACAGAAATGCTACCGAATAAATATCCACTACCTCATCAGTATTTCTAACAATTAACACAATATAAAATTGTATATACTACAAATCGTGACATTTATTTGTAAGCTACCGCGATTTGGTCAGCTGTTCATTTCCGTGCGTATATATAAACTCAGTGTTTTTTGTAACTATTTGTCGACATTTACCACGTAATAATAAGTTTAATTTTGTAATTGTTACGGATAAATAAGTTGGGAACTTATTGCGTACTCTGACGAGAAACCCACTGAGTGTGGTGGAACTTGTTAATTCTAAGCACGTCCAATATGTCGTTTTACTCGTACTATCGCTTCACGTCTAAATATGACATGCTGTTGTGGTTTGTGTCTGTTTCAATCCTAGCGTATGTATATGTCTATAGAAAACAATACATTGTAACATTAGCGCCGTGTATGGGTACGTTGATGTGCTTTGCACGTGCCAGCTTTACGTCAATGCTGTTCATTAATTCGTTGATTTCAGGGCTGTGAAAAAGTTTATGCTCATTTACTTTTGGTAATAGGCTTGCGTGGTCTCTATTGTATGCCAGCCTATTTCACCGTATTACAAGCGATAAATATACACGTCATTGACTGAGATTCGTTATGAAACGAGGCACGGTTTAAACGAATTCTACCCATAATCACGCTTTTCATTCAGAAATCATGTGACAGATGCTGGATATCTCGTCGTTTTTATTGAACTGTTTAATACGTGTAATTTAAGTAAATAAATAAATAAATAAGGAAGGAAGGTACATATAAACTTACATGGTGTATATTTATTATATCAACACGAGGGACGATTGCGACCATGTAAACTTATGTTTTATTTACCCGGGAAACTGTAGGCGTTTTTATACGATGATATGAAGTTTATATTCCAAAAGTACTGGTGGAAATATAACAAGGTCACACGCCGCAATGTGTTTATTTCCTTGTCTGTTCGCACGCTAGCAATTATCATTTTACACTGTGTGGATTTCAACGCCAGCAATACACGGTACGGGATTAATTAACACGTTGGATGATGCATGGTCAGATTAGTATCACGTGGATCGATATGACCTATTCAAAGATTGAATTCCGTCACGCTTACTTGTTCAATATATTTGGAAAACTAATTACGACAACGATACATTCGCTTTCACTATACGCAATTTCCGTCGTATATTTTTTCCAATCATCATTCTTGTTAACGGAATGGTGGACATTGCTAATATTGTACAACCACGTCTGTCTATTGTGTTCCCAATAACACATTACACGCATTAAGAAGGTAGTAATGAATGCACGAGAAAATCACAGTAAAATTTATTAATTCCTACAATCCATAATGAAAATGTTTTTGATTAACGTATTTATGTGGCTTGCGATGCATTCAGTCAGTCGAGTTAGATATAAGCCAAGTTTAGTAGGCTGTAATTTACGATTATCATAGCGTCAAATCCTGGACTGCCTGAAAGCTTACTCTTATACTTATGATGCGATTTCTAATCTCTGCATTTATATAGGCAAATATCACAGTGACGTCATCGTCATCGTTATTTGTTAACTAAACCGTCAGCTCAATTTTAGATTGACCATACAGTTGTACAAGATACGTTCAATGCCGGAAGGTATAATGTATTCGTTACATAAAACATAGTAGGTTATATATACAGTAACACGTACTGTTTGTTATTGTTAGTGAAAATTACAACCTTATATGCGATACCTTGGCGATAATAAACCTTGCGGGATACTAGACATGACTGAACACCTCTAATCATCAACGGCATAGTTCAAAATCGCTACATTTCGCGGCATCAGACAACATCCTATCGTGAATACTCAACACTGCTAACATTTTACAGCAATATTCAACATCGTAACATTTTATTTATTTATTTATTTATTTATTTATTTATTTATTTATTTATTTATTTATTTATTTATTTATTTATTTATTTATTTATTTATTTATTTATTTATTTATTTATTTATTTATTTATTTATTTATTTATTTATTTATTTATATTTATCATCTGAACATAACCGTGTTCTACCAAGCATCTGTAATTCAGATGTATTCATTTATTTAATCATTTTGTAAGACATACTACATGCCTATGAATAGTTGAGGTATTCACGTTTCTGCGTTACTTTCACTAATAGCAATGTTGACATTACAACTGTATATCAGTAGTTCTATCTCAATTTACCATGTAGATTAAACAGTAAATGCAATTATCATTACTCCTGGGAGATTGGTCGACGCGGGCGTTGTTTTCAACAAATGCATAGTAGTATGAATCTCTCTTTTTATTCGTTATGTATGTTCGCCGCAGTGACCCTCCCCTGAAGTAGAACACGAGGTGAGGTGACGGACTACTACCCCAAGGACCTTGCCTGATTATTCTCTTGTAGAAAGTTGTTATTTCCGTTATGTGAAAGAAAAATGTAGAAAACCTCACTCCAGATGTGACAAAGACGGTGAATATCGGAGAATTATAAATATACTGTTGAACAAAAAAATGATTTAACCTAATAAAGAGATCGACTAACGCAATCATACAGCACGTCGACATTTCAGCTGTACAAAAAAAATAAAGGTCATTATATTAATATCATGAAAGGTTATGCCGAATATGTCTATAACGTGTTCTACTAAGAATACTAGTTTCCAGGTATGTAGGTTATGCAATGTAACATATAATTTAATTATTGGATCCAAACCACATACTGGGAACACTGTGTGGAATTTCTCCACAGAAACCGCGTATTTTTCATCGCGTATACAATGACTGTTGTACGTTTCTTCACAAGCAGCAAATACATTTCTAGTTCTATTGGTAATACGGTTTATCTATTTTTATTTTTTCATGGCTTGCCTACGTCATAGTGGGCTGCACACTCGTAAAACGGGTTATTGAAATTCTAAGTAGTTTTAATACTATTGTATTCTACGACGACGATGTGGCTTACGCGGGGACATATGGATCTGAACAGCGGGCAGACATTGTAGTGCTCACTGCTTTCGGCTATAACGAAACTTTCCGTACAATATGATTTTTGAAGTACGTGACATTGTTTAATTATTTCCAACCGAGCTTCAGACTAAGATTTTTTACTTATATTCAAAATATACTTGAATGCCTGTATAAAGTCATAATTAAATCGTACGAATATTGTGATGGGAGCAGTGGCTGTGATGTACAAGGATACATGCGGCATGTTCCCTAGCGAGCAGAAAAACCTTTGCTCGGAGAAGGAAAAATTGTTTCTGGACCCCAGTGACGTTAAAGAAATGCTAACGTGACGTGCTTTTTTGATAATTTTTTAAATGGTTTATTCGATTAGCTCAAAATTTAAAACTTGTCTCTACAGGATAATGCGTTTACGCTATAGTAATTTGTTTTTGAAAATATTGGTAAAATGTCAAAAAACAGTTGCATAGTATTACATAGTTTATTGGATTAGACAATTGGCTAAATAATCTAATATAGTTAACAATACTTGAATAATATTAGCTTTGCTTGTTGTTTGGATCGTAAATTTATTTATTTATTTATTTATTTATTTATTTATTTATTTATTTATTTATTTATTTATTTATTTATTTATTTATCTGAACATGATTTGATTTATTTTGAGAAAACATATAACTCGTTTTTTTCTAATTCACCTACAAGTGCTTTGCAATCTCCTTTGATCAAAGACACGAACAATGAAGAAAGAGTGTCAAAGAATCAGGTGGTGCAGTTGGACAGAAAAGCTAACTGCTTTCAGATAAGAGTAACGACTCATATTGACAGACACACTATTCGAAGCAATGCAATGTTTGTAAGCATTTATTTATCTAATGGAGGTTGTCAATGTTATAAACCTTGGGTAAGGTATTCCTATGTTAAACTGCAAAAACGAATAGGTGATTTTCCGTTCAACTGCGAGATCTCGCGAGTTGCATGAAAGACGCGCGTCGAACGTCTGCCGCAAAAATCGTACGATTTGATTTTGAACTCGAATTTCTTTATTTCGTAGCTCACATCGACCGGCCGATCTTCGACAGAGGAATATTGCTCGAATCCCACGCGATGTTTGACGCCACTACGACGCTGTGACCTTTGTTTGTCCTGTTTTTACGCTCGATTTCATGCATAACGCGTGATTCTCGCAGTGAACGGAAAATGGTCTATTAGCTGAAAACGGGAGTGTCATTAATATGCAAGATGCTTTGGGACAAGATGCACAGGCTGTCAACAAACTAACTGTTCACATAGTTATTGTAGACAACCATGCCCTCACTGTAAATGAACCTCTAGCATATTTATGTATAGCAGATGGGTCTTAGGGAAAGAAGTTCACCTGAATTGGTAGTGTTCAACAACCTGCATGTACTTGTGACCTATACGATATAAATCTACAAAGTACCACATCCACACCTCAAGCCAAACAACATATATACCAACATATATTTACAAAAATAAAATCACAATGTTAGGGCAAAAGTAAGGACAAAGTACAAACTCTAAACACACACAAAAAGAATTGCCATTGAGCACCTCACAGATGAGCACCCCAGTATGCTACAGTCGCCGAACCCAATATGTCCGCTCCAAACAACGTCTTAATGAACACGCACTCACAGTGACTAGATACACATGCGTAAGCCGAATCCAGAACGTCGCGAACAACGACATACATATAAAGCCAGGTATTCATGGTCAGTATTATCTACTCAGTTATGTTTTCCCTCGAAGTACATGACCACCAGCAGTGGCAAAATAATACAGACAATATATCGACACAAATAAAATATAAGAGTACATCTTTTTATTTCATCACCTCAATCTACCGGCAACTTAGCAACACAAACAACAACCAATAACACAACTCACACAAAAGCCTATTACAATTATATAGAAGCCTACAAAGCATCAATGCCTACAAAGTGACTCAAAAATCAAGTATATATTGACCCTAAGACATGTTCAACCCTTAGAAAATGTTTGGCGAGGCACTCAATAATAAAGAAATCGATGAAGCATCTG